AGTGCTGCCAACTAGTGAATAGAGGAGCACAGGACCCTGCTTATGTACATCCAAAGAAAACAAAAATCATGGACAAGTTACTCCAACATACAATCTCCAATTAAATATAAACATAAAAATGTCACAATGTCTCGGAGACAACAGACCATCACAGTCCACATGAAGAAGCCAAATAAAGCAAGAGAAACAAGGAACCAGGACACAGACCCAAAACACATCCTTGAGGAAGAAGCAGCATTGGAACTCCCTGCTAAGGAATTCAAAATAATTATATTTAGGTACCTTCAATGATTGAGAGACAGTCAAAGGAAACACTGACAAAATGGAGGAAAACTCAGAGAAAAACCTAGGACAATTTTGAAAGACAATACAAGAACCAAATAATAAATGAAAAATTAGAAATGATACAAAATCTACAGACAGAAATCCAGAAGATTAATACTAAATTTTCAGAAATAGATAACACATTGAAAAGGCAAAGGAGTAGAAATGAATCAATGGAAGACAGAATTAGTGAGACTGAAGACAAACATCTTAATACTTCTTTGGAAAGGGATCAATCAGAAAAAAAGATCAAAACAAAATAAAGAAAGCCTAAAGTCATGTGGGATACCATCAAAAGGAATAACCTACATGTAATTGGAATTCCAGAAAAGGAAGAGACAAATAAAACCACAGAAAAAATTGTCAAAGATTTGTTGGAAGAGAATTTTCCTAATATGATGAAAAATGAGAATATATCCATTCAACAAGCCCAACAAACCCCAAACAGTATAGACTCCAAAAGAAAATCACCAAGACATATCATCATCAAACTCACCAAAACCAGAGACAAAGAAAGAATCCTGAAAGTAGCATGGGAAAAATGAAAAGTTACCTACAAGGGGCAACCAATATGACTAAGCTTGGATTTCTTGGCAGAAACCTCACAGGCAAGAAGACAATGGGATGGTATATATAAAATCCTGAAAGGAAAAAAAATTCCAACCAAGAATTATACTCCCAGCAAAACTGTCCCTCAAATAGGATGGTGAAGTTAGGACATTTCCAGATAAGCAGAAATTAAGGGAATTTGTTAAAACCTGACCAACCTTACAAGAGATGATAAAGGAAGTCCGCTGGACAGAGAACCAACAATAGCAAACAACAACTGACCATTAACACACATGGTGACGTAACCCAGAAACCAACCCAGTTATGGAAGTATCCACAGTAAATAAGCCTACAAGATTGTAAACAGGGAACCAGAGACATCAATAACAAAGGAGGACAACTACAAACCAAAAAGAGGGGAAAAACTGTGTCATTGCAGAACTTCTAACAGGTAGGGAAGTCAAGACAACTGCAAGATAGGACAGACTATTCTAAACTTGGCAAGAAAACTACTAATCACAGGGTAATGTCAAAGAAAAATGATAAACCTTCACATCAAAATGAAAAAGAAGACCATCACAAATATTTAGCAAACATTAAAACAACAGCAATGAAGGAAGTGATAATATGATTCATAAACAAAATGAACTCAGTGCAGAAAATTATATGGAACAAAGAAATTAGCAACTCCATGAAAAAGCATATAACAAAATGACAGCAACAAATTCAAACATGTCGATAAATTATTACTCTGCCAAAAGAGTAGAAAGAGAACCTACAGATTGGGAAAAAATATTCGGCAACAACATATCTGACAAGGGACTTATCTCTAAAATTTATAGAAAACTCTAACATCTTTGGGTGGTTATATCTGTTTGTCAACTTGGCTGGGCCTGGTTGAGTGGCTGGGCAGCTGAATGTATTTATTCTCCATGGTGAGATCAGTAATTAACTCCATGGTGGAATCTATTGGAGCAGTTGAGTAATCGCTTTGGGTATGTGGTCTGCTTCCCATATATTAGAAACAGCTTTGGGAGTGGTCTTTAGCACACTTGAGCCCTGCATGTAGCTGTGTCGTTGTTCAGCAGCCTGCCATGCTCTGCCGACCTTGGGACTTTCAAGGGACTTGAATTAATGGCCTGCCATGTGGTTTGGTAACATCGGGACTATGCCATTTTATTTGTTGACTTTGGCCTTGTTAGCCTCAGAAGCCAGTAGCTGCCTGAGTGAGATGCCTCTAGCTTCAGTAGGCCAGGAACCAGAGGCAGAGCTGAAGCCCAAGGTCAAGGGGCTTTCAAACAACTCCTAGAGCCTGGCACTTGGAACTTGGGTTTCTAGCCTCCAAACTGTAAGAGAATAAACTCCTGTTTGTTCAAGCCATTCTATCTGTGGTATATTCTTGTCAGAGCGGCACTAGGTAATAGAATACACCTCAACAACAGAAAGTAACAATCCGATTAAAAAATGGGCAGAAAACATGGATAGATACTTCACCAAAGAGAATATTCAGGCATCCAGCAAATATGGGAGCTCTGGTAGCATAATGCCTAAGGCACTTGACTGCTAACAAGAAGGCTGGTGGTTCAAACCCATCAGCCACTCCTTAGAAGGAAGGTTGTGCAATCTACTTCCGTAGTGATAACGCCTCAGAAACCCAAGGAGGGGTCACTATGAGTCGGGTCCGACTCAACAGCACATAACAACAACAACAACAAGCAAATACACGAAGAAATGTTCACGATCATTAGCTGTGAGAGACATAAATCAAAACAATGAGATACCTTCTGGTCCCAGCACTAATGGCAAAGTTCAATAAGACAGAAAATAACAAATGCTGGAAACGATGTGGAGAGATTGGGACCCTCATACACTGCTGGTAGGACTGTCAAATGACAGAACCACTGTGGAAAGCAGTATGGTGATTCCTTAAAAAGCTGGAATTAGAAATACCATTTAACCCAGCAATCCCATTACTAAGTATATAATCCTAAAGAAGTGACAGCCAGGACAAAAATAGATATATGCACACCCATGTTCATCACACTACTATTTAAAATAGCAAAAAGATGGAAACAATCTATGTGCCCATCAACAGAAGAATGGATAACCAAACTATGGTACATCTGCACAATGAAATACTAAGTGACACTAAAGAATAATGCAGAATCTGCAAAACACTGTATAACATGGATGAGTTTGGAGGACGTTATGCTGATTGAAGTAATTCAATCTCAGAAGGACAACTTCGGTATTAATTAATTATTGTGAAAAGTCAAGGAAAGGTTTATATACGGAAGGAAACTTTCTTTGCTGGTTACCAGGGGTGGGAGGGGAACTGGAAAAAAAAATGCATTGAGCCATGTCACTTTAGTTTTATGTATTTCACTGTACATAAATTATATTTCAATAAAATACATTTTAAAAAGATTATTAAAATAAGTTCTAACAAATAATTCTCTATAGAGTATTCATTATTAAAAAAAAAAAACCCTAGAAATATACAAGGCATATCTAAATGGAAATAATACTGTAACATATTCTCCTATTTTATCTAATTACATTTTCCTGCCTCAGCAAAATTCATGATACTACATTTAAAATTTCCCAAAGTCATCTGTAATGAATTTTTACAGAAAGTATGAGTCTTAAATATACTGTTATCATGTAAGAAAGGTTTAAGGAAGTTAATATACAACATTGTTGTTGTTGTTAAGTGCCGTCGAGTCGTTTCTGACTCATAGTGACCCCATGCACAGCAGAACGAAACACTGCCTGATCCCGCACCAGCCCCACAATCCCTGCTATACTTGA